AAAGCAAAAATTGGCAAAATTCAAAGAAGGCATTTCCACTATATAGATAAAACAACTAGTCAAAAAAATCTAATAAGGAGGGGCTCCTGGCTGACTCTTGATCTTGGGGTCATGAGTTCAAGCCCCATTTTGGGCATAGAGCTTACTAAAAAAAAAAAAAAAATCAACTGGATTTAGTAAAACTTTTTTAAAAAAATCAATGTTTTTTTAAAATTTTATTTTATTGTTTAATATTTAATTACTTATCTTACAGAGAGCGCACAAGCAGGGAGAGTGGCAGGCAGAGGGAGAGGGAGAAACAGACTCCACACAGAGCAGGGAGCCCAACATGGGGCTCGATCCCAGGACCCAGGGATCATGACCCGAGCCGAAGGCAGTTGCTCAACCAACTGAGCCACCTAGGCACCCCCGATGAATTCTTCCAAACCAGTGAATTCAACCAAATAGTTACTATTAACATTAACATCTACTTTCAAAAACTTCTTCTAGAGAATGGGGGGGGGAGGAACACTTTCCAATTCATTTTATAATGCCTGAATAATTTATCAAAATCTAATGAATTGCAAGGATCCTAAATAAAATATTAACAAATGGGAATTTGTGTGTTTAGAAAGGTACGTCAGGGTGCCGGGCTGGCTCAGTCGGTTAAGCATCTGACTTCGACAAGATCATGATCCCAGGGTCTTCGGATCGAGTCTCACATCAGGCTCCTTGCTCAGCGGGAAGTCTGCTTCTCCCTCTGCCTGCTCTGCCTGCCGCTCTCCCCACTGGTGCGCTCTCTCTCTCTCTCTCTCTCTCACAGATAAATAAAATCTTTTTAAAAAAAAAAAGAGGGACGCCTGGGTGGCTCAGTTCGTTGGGTGTCTACCTTTGGCTCAGGTATGATTCCAGGGTCCTGGGATGGAGCCCCACGTTAGGCTCCCTGCTCAGCAGAGAGCCTGCTTCTCCCTGCTTGTGCTCTCTCTCTGTCAAATAAATAAATAAAAAGAAAGATGAAACAGATAGCAATTGATTTTAGGGGATCTCCAGGTTGTCATAAATCAACAGCCTTTTACTCATGTTAATATCTTGATTATTATTATAATGCAAAACACTCAAACATTTAATAAAAGAATTCCAGTTGGTAAACATAACCTGGTCATTGGTAATAAAATATTTAAAACACACACCCTCATGACATCTGGCTGGCTCAGTTAGAAGAGTGTGCAACTCCTGATCTCAGGGTTGTGTGTTCACGCCCCATGTTGGGTGTGGAGATTACTAAAAAATAAAGTCTTTTTTTTTTTTTAAGATTTTATTTATTTATTTGTCAGAGAGAGAGGAGAGAGCACACAAGCAGGAGGAGAAGCAGACTCCCTGCTGAGCAAGGAGCCCAACGCAGGACTCGCTCCCAGGACCCGGGGATCAAACCTGAGCCAAAGGCAGATGTTCAACTGCCTGAGCCATAAAAAAAAAGACAAAGGAAAGAAAAAAATGACACCAAATAGGGACAAATAGAAGGGAAATAGTAAGGGCGCCTGGGTGGCTATATATATAAAATAAAATACACTCATTATGTTTCCAGACAGGAGGAAAAATGTACCATGGTATTTTTTTTTTCTCCTGTTAGGGCATTGTCATTTAAACGTAAACCTGGAATTCAGGTTTACAGGATAAGAACAAGGCAAGAAGTATCAGATTACTGTAGAATAATGTTTGTTTCCCAAAGAAGGAAAAGCATAAATCACATGTTTACTTAGTGAGAGAGTTGAAATTTAAATTGTTTAAAGTAGCAGGTAAGGGGCGCCTGGGTGGCTCAGTCGTTGGGCGTCTGCCTTCTTTTTTTTTTTTTGTTCCAATAAAAAAAATTTTTAATTTTTTATTGTTATGTTAATCACCATACATTACATCATTAGTTTTGGATGTAGTGTTCCATGATTCATTGTTTGTGCATAACACCCAGTGCTCCACGCAGAACATGCCCTCTTTAATACCCATCACCAGGCTAACCCATCCCCCCACCCTCCTCCCCTCTAGAACCCTCAGTTTGTTTTTCAGAGTCCATCGTCTCTCATGGGCGTCTGCCTTCTGCTCAGGTCATAGTCCCAGAGTCCTGGGATCGAGCCCCACATTGGGCTCCTTGCTTGGCGGGGAGCCTGCTTCTCCCTCTCCTACTCCCCCTGTTTGTGTTCCCTCTCTCTGTCAAATAAATAAAATCTTAAAAACTAAAAAATAAAAATAAAGTAGCAGGTAAAATGAATGCTGTTGCAAATTGTGCTGATTTTTGAAGAGATGCTAGCAACTAGTGGTATCAGAAGTATGTTCAGGAATGTTTTTGATACCTGTATTTATTACAAACAAATGGTGGAGCAGGATGGATTTATTTCAAAGTACCTCCTTTGTATTACATGTAACAAACAAACCATGCCTTTGAGTGGAATCCTCAAAAAGTAAACAGGTGTATGATCTGTGATTTGGGGATTAGTCTTGGAATGTAAACAAAATGTGGCAAATATCCTTAGAGACTGTGCCTGTTCTAGTATATTGATGTAAAATATGTATAGCACCTTGTAGAGTGGTAAAAATCAAATGCTATCTTTTAATCTTTATTTTTAAGATTTTATTTATTTATTTGAAAGCGCAAGTGAGAGAGCACAAGCAGGGAGACAGGGAGAGGCAGCTTCCCCACCGAGCAGGGAGCCCGATGCGGGACTCGATCCCAGGACTCTGAGATCATGACCTGAGCCGAAGGCAGACGCTTAACTGACTGAGCCACCCAGGGACCCGCTATCCTTTAATCTTAACATAGCTATTACTCATCCTGTTTTATACATTACTTGTGAATTGCAATTTTACAGAGTATTTCAGGGACAAATACAAATGATTCAGTTCCTTCTTTGCAGAAGAAAGAATCCCAGATATTATAATGTGAGATTTTATTTTTAATATCTACAGAACTATTCTTTAAAAAAACCTTCAGAAATATAGCACTTCTTTCAGATTTATGAATTATAAATTTTCTGGGTATACATTCCATTTATTCCTTATAACTTTTTTCCTTATTTTTTTATGAAGCTTCAGGTTAATGACAGGAAACTAACTGAACATTTACACTGCTAAGCCCTAGTGTTTTTAGCACCAAGAAGGAGTGATTTTATCTACCTTATCTCCACCAGCCTCCACCCTAACAAATATTCAATTTTATTTAATTAACTTAATTTTGAAGTTGAAAGCTAAATTATGTTCTGTTTTTACCAATGTCCTGATAAGTTTATTGTTTCTCGCCTCAAAGGACTGGGCATACTGCTTTGTTCAAAGTTTATTTTCTTATGGAACTTGCAAAGAAAATAAAATATTGGTCTGATGAAGTCTCCTTTGAATTTAGAAAGCTTAATTGTTTATCTTATACTTTACTCAGGAAAAGCAAACTAAAACCAAAGTAGTCAAAATATGAACTCAGATGTTCAAACTTTTATTTGTAAAGTAAAAGGAGAAATTACGTTAGCTTATATTAAAATGCTTAGTCACTTTTATAATCCAAAAAAGACAAATTTCTCAGTCATACACCTGAGACGTTTTTAGGGAGTTCATTGAGAGTTGAAGCTTTGAGCAAACTTTTCTAGGTCAAATTATATAGTATATTAAAGTCAGTGAAGGGCGCCTGGGTGGCTCAGATGGTTAAGCGTCTGCCTTCAGCTCAGGTCATGATCCCAGGGTCCTGGGATCGAGTCCCGCATCGGGCTCCCTGCTCCTTGGGAGCCTGCTTCTCCCTCTGCTTCTCTCTCTCTCCCTCTCTCTCTCTCTCTCTCTCTCTCTCTCTCTCCCTCTCCCTCTCTCCCTCCCCCCGCCATCTCTCATGAATAAATAAATAAAATCTTTAAAAAAAAATTTTAAAAAGTCAGTGAAAATTTGAGGTGCTTCATTTCAATATGCCAATATGAATATCTTAAAAATACACATACAGAGCATTCACAAACAAATTAATAGTGCATATGGTGTTAAAATAGGTTTGAGTTGCTTCAGCACTATATAAAAGTAGATATTGAACCAGTAGTCTAATAATTACTTTCCCATTTTGAAAATGTGTCTAGTCATACCTGGAAGTTAGTAATAATTCAAGAGTAGGAAAAGGGATCTATCCCTGAGAATTCTGTCTTAACCATGTTTAATACCTCGTATGAGTGGTTCTCTGGGTAATATGGTCTCTGTGCTTCTTCCCACTGTCCTGTCCACCACTTTGTAAGTTGGTTTTCTTGTCCAAAATATGTTGTCAGAATTGTCCCTGTCCTGTTCGATCCCAGGACCCTGAGATCATGACCCGAGCCGAAGGCAGACGCTTAACTGACTGAGCCACCCAGGCGCCCCAGCATTAGCTTTTTTAGAGAAAAAAAAGAAGTGAACGGCAGACATCATGATGCTCCTAAGAATAGTCTTCTAAATAACAATAATACTGTTTTCATGCATAAGAAGTAGAACATTGAGGACAGACGACTTCAGTAAACTTCTGTTGTTTTGGAATAGTCAGATCTCATGTTAGATCACTGAAAGTGCACTGCTTAAAAAAATCCTTATCGGGGCGCCTGGGTGGCTCAGTCGGTTGAGCATCAAACTCTTGATTTCAGCTCAGATCATGATTGCAGGGTTGTGAGATTGAGCCACAAGTCGGTCTCCTCACTGAGTGTGGAGTTGGCTTGGGATTCTCCCGCCCCCTCTGCCCCTCCCCGTGTGTGCTGTCTTTCTCTTAAAAAAAAAAATCCTTATCAAAATCTGATTTTTGGGGCGCCTGGGTGGTTCGGTCGGTTAAGCATCTGCCTTCGGTTAAGCATCTGCCTTCGCCTCAGGTCAGGATCTCAGAGTCCCAGGATCGAGCCCCACGTCAGGCTCCCTGCAGAGCAGGGGAGTGTGCTTCTCCCCCTCCCCCTGCCCATGTTCTCCCTGCCCATGCTGTCCGTCTCGTTCACTCTCTCTCTTTCCAAATAAATAAATCTTTATTTAAAAAATCAGATTTTTTTTCCTTGCAGAAATCCTATTCCATGCCCATCGGCATTGAATTTCAGCGGAGATATGCAACAATCGTTCTGGAGCTTGAGCAGCTCAACAAGGACCTCAACAAAGTTTTGCATAAAGTTCAGCAGTACTGCTATGAGGTAGGTGATGTGTATAAATTTCCCCTGAAGGCCTCTGCCCCCCTCCCCCACTCTTTTATTTAAAGCTAAATACTGTTACTTACCTTCACATTTTAGAAAATTCAAACTACACCAACATCTCTATCAGGTCCTTTAGCAGAACCGTATTTTACTTACATTTTTACTCGTTATAGCATCGTGTCGAAGAGTGCTTTACACACAGTCAGCTCTCAATTCTGTTGATTTTTGTTTCAATTACAAATGGTATTGCTCTTGGAAAAATCCAGAAAAATGATTACTCTTAAACTCTTAATTTCACAATCCCAAATACTGTATTTTGGTTTATTTCCCCTTAGTATTTTATTTTATTTTTTTAAGATTTTATTTATTTATTTGACACAGAGATAGAGAGCATAAGTAGGCAGAGCGGCAGGCAGAGGGAGAAGCAGACTCCCTGCTGAGCAGGGAGCCCGATGCGGGGCCCGATCCCAGGACCCTGGGATCACAACCTAAGCCGAAGGCAGACGTCCAGCTGACTGAGCCCCCCAGGCACCCCTCCCCTTAGTATTTCAGATAGATAGATAGAATGCTTTTTCTCACAAAGTTATGATCATGCTGTGTATACAATTTTGTTTCCTCCTGCTTTAAACTTTACATTAGAACTATGGAATCTTGAACTTCAAGTATGTAGAGCATAGGGTTATTTGTGAATTTTTATCGTGTACATAAAATTATATATATATGAAGGCAGTTCGTGGTTTCACCTCGAATGTGATTTTCTTACAACAGGGTAAGAAGTGACTGAGATGAGTTTAGAACGCTCCAGCACTTGCATTTTTAGAGGTTTTATGTTCCCTGTGAGCCACGTCCATTTGTGACATGAGGTTCTTCAACAGTTAGCTCTTTATGACACTAACCTCCTAGTTAGTCCCGAAGATCTGCCGTAGGCCATGTTATCAATCTGTCCACCTGGAGCTGAGGGAAATGAACTGTGTTTGGCTGGAACTACACTCTGAGACTATTGCTCATTCCTCTAGCCATCATTATCATTTATTTTTATTTTCCCAGTAGTTGTCCTCTACATAGCAGTAAGCATTGTCCTAGCGAATAGATTTCTCCCTCCTGACCAACTACCAACCCACCTGACGCTAACCGAGCAGTCCGAGACCGCGCAGGACAAAGCTGACAACATGCGCAGAAGTGGGCTGCTCATCACTCTTGTTGTGTAATTTCAGTATGTACACAAGGCCTTTTGTGATAGGCCCATTTCCCCATGAAGTAAAATGATTTCATTTTCACAAAGCTCTTGGGGAAGTACAATATTGATTTGATTTGCTTTTTAAAGATAGATTCACTGAGAGAGAGTACGCATAAGTAGGGGCAGAGGAAGAGAGAATCTCAAGCAGACTCCCTCCTGAGCAGGGAGCCCAATGTGAGGCTTGATCCCAGGACCCTGACCTGAGCCGAAGGCAGATGCTCAACCGACTGAGCCACCCAGGAGCCCCTACAATATTGATTTTAAAATAAAAGTGTAAACAGTATGATTAAGCAATTCTATTTCTGATATATACCAAACAGATTTGTGAACTTCTCTTTACCACTAGAATGTTCATAGCACCTAAAAATAATTAGAATTTTTTTAAAGCATTAGAGAAAGGTGATTCATTGCAGCGTTCCTGGTATTTGCAAAATATTAGAAAAAACATAAATGCCCATAAAGAGGGAATTGGCTGAGTAACTTAAGGTACATCTATACCGTGGAATATCTTGCTGCTGTAAGGACGAACAAGGAAGCTCTCTATTTACCGATATGGAGTGATTTCCAGGATGTATTAAGTGAAAAAAAATAAAGTACATGGAAGTATATATATTAAGTGTTTCCTTTGGAGTAAGCAGAAATATGTAAAAATAAAATACACATATATCCACTTAGTTTTTCAAGAATAAACACAGGAAGGATAAACTAGAACTAATTTGGGGATCGGGGAGTGAGGGGAGTGACATTTCTCTGAGTGTTTGTTGCCTCAATAAATACAGATGAACTCCAAAATGGAGTATAAGTAGAAATAAATGAACCTAACTCTTCTTCAAAGGAATAACATAAACACTAAAGGAGACAAAAATGAATCCAAATAACCTAACTTAGTATTTTGACTCTATACCCTTAGTCTGAAGATAAATCAAACTTTAAATAAATAATGAACTCTAGTTAGTAAGGTTTTCACTCCTGGTGGTGTGGATTCGCAGTTCTGAAACTCTGCATTCTAGGCTGGAGCACATGAGTAACTAAGTATATCATGGATCGGGGAGGCCTGCCCTCTCACCTCTGGAGAAGGCAGTTATGAAGATGGGAGACTACAACAAACCCTGTGGTGTTGGGTTAGAATAGGGAGAATCGGTCTGATTTCGAGGTTCATTTTATTTTTATGACGTAGCTACGTGGGTGTGTGTGCGTGCAGGCGCACACACACACGCTGAGAGAGCCCAGGAGCACACACCTGATGGCAGTGAGCCCCCCCCAGCACTCGATCGTGGCTTCCAGATGCTGCTCTCCAATAAAAGGAAGCAGGGCTCCTTGAAAAAGAGACTTGATTCCAGAGGCCGGACCGTCTTCACTGTGCCCCCCAGCTTCCGGGAACGTGTCCAACAGGACCGGCGGGACACCGTCCCCACTGACTAGATCTGGGGCAGTTGGGCTTCAGCACAAGTGACTACACTCAGAGATTAGAACCCTTTGCGTAAAGTAAGAATCCATGAGTCCATACTAATATTAACTACTTAACCAATTAATTTTTAAGGGAAAGTTCTTAGAGTAAAACGCCCGCTAGCAACTGTGGGAGGAATGGTAGGGTGAGAGGAATGGCGCCTGGCAGCCGTCACCACAGGGACACCACACCCTGGTAAAGGCAGGGGTGCTCAGTAAAACCGGGGGTCAGAGAGGTCAGGACAGGAGCCTCTAAATCTCTCTTCACAAATTTTACTCATTCCAAAGGGGAAAAGCCCGTCCCGTGGGGAAATCTGGCCGACACCTGACTCCCTTAACCCAGTGATCGGAGACACCGTGACCAATAATGGGACAGATCAGCATCAGGGGCCTCCTGACCGACATGCCCTGAGCAAGAGCTCGCCATCACTCTTGTATTCCTCCCCAAAATGCATGACTTCAGTCTAATCACAAGGAAACAGACAAACCCATGTTGAGGGACAGTGGACAAAATAATTGGCTGGTACTCTTCCAAAATATGGTATTTCATGAAAGAGGAACTGTTCCAGAATAAAAGAATCTACAGAGACACGACAACCAGATGTCTCTGGCGGGGGGTGGGGCGTGGGGGGGACTTACATGTTGGGATGGTTGATGGACTGTACACATGCCCTTTTAGAAGAATATGGTCTTCTATCAGTGGGAAATTTCCCGGTTGTGACAGTTGCCCTGTGGGAATGTACTTCGGAAATGCAGACTGGAGTGTTCAGGGGGAAAGAGGCACAGTGTTTGCAGCTTATTCTCAAATAGTTAAGGGGAAAACATTACATCTGTTACACAGAGAGAGATCAAATGTTGCCACACGGAATAAACAAGAAACAGTGAATTTGGGTAAAGGGTTTTTAGGAGTATTTTTTCTATTCCTTTTTAGCAGTTTGAAATTATGTCAAAATTAAAAGTTGCCAGAAATATAAAATCAAGAAAAGAAAACCAAGAAGAAACATTTCTTCTGGTGTGAGGCCCATTTTCATTATAAAGGCTAGTTTTGTAAACACCCACATCTGAAGACAGGGCACGAACACACAGACATCGTCTGGCCTGGTGACCGTACATCTCATGTTGGAATCCTCTGTTCCCAGCTCGCTCCAGACCAGGGCCTGCAGCCTGCGGACCAGCCCACGGATATGAGACGGAGGTGTGAGGAGGAAGCCCAGGAGATTGTCCGGCACGCCAACTCCTCCACTGGACAGCCCTGTGTTGAGAACGAAAATCTCACAGACTTAATCTCCAGGCTCACCGCTATTTTATTACAAATTAAGGTACATCTCCGAGAAAACGTTCTCTTCATTTTGATACCTACACAAATTGCACTAATTTGTTAATAAATGATTACAATACACAGATTGTATCAGGTATTTTGTGTCTGTATTTGAACTATAATTCAATTAAAATTTGAAATATTTTTTCCTTTAGTGTCTGGCAGAAGGAGGAGACCTGAATTCCTTTGAGTTCAAATCACTTACAGATTCATTAAATGATATCAAGAGTACAATAGATGCGTCTAATATCAGGTAATTCGTTAGGTGGACTCTAATCATTTTTCTAAGTTCATGGGGATTTCCAGTAAAGTTTTAAGAATTATGCATATTTGTGAAGCATTCCTATAATTTTTACCCTGTAAATAAATTCCAAAAGACCTTTTCAGTTATATCCCGTCTATTAACAGAATAGAAAGTTCACATGGATTTGGTTTATGTAAAGGAATCCGAAGACCTACAGTATTTAGGCTTGGGTTGGTGTGGGGGCTCCACTGAGTAGTTTCCCCAGAGAGACACTCTCACCCTCGCCCGCACCCCCGCGGCTCCTTTGCCCCCTCCAGCAGCCCTTCCCGTCACGGCTGCAGCTGGGGGGTAGCTGGTATGATGGGGGCTTTAGTCCTTCCTCGGGTCATTGTCTTCGCTGCTTTTTGGACTAAAATTCGGCTCTTCCTTTGTTAACAAGTATTTTCCTAACGTTGCAAAATAAGGGAGTTAACCGTGTTTCTTCTTCAGTTGCTTTCAGAATAACGTAGAAATCCACGTTGCACACATTCAGAGTGGCCTGAGCCAGATGGGAAACCTGCACGCCTTCGCAGCCAATGACACCAACAGGGACTGAGGAGGAGCCCTCGCTGTTCGCGCTGCTCAGGACGCTGCGCTCCCTGCACCGAGGCTTCCAGCACCAGATAACCCAAGCGCTGGAAAGCAAGGGAAATGTAAATCTCCAACTAGGGCGTTTTAATATACTGTACTGCTTCTTAAACCAGCATTGCTGACCGGCATTCTATTTATTTGTCTTTTTATTATTCAGCTGCAGTAGCATCGCTTATGTTACATGTTTATAAGCAAGTATTTTTAAACTGAAACTGAACGTAATAGGCTTTCAAGGAAGAGTATGCTGACCCTTTTTTGAACGTGCATGAATCCAGGCCAGCACGCGCAGACAGCTGCGTCGGGGAGGGGGGGGGGCTCCTTACGCTGCCAGGGGGCAGTGCGGGAACTCCGGCCAGAGGACTGCAGCGCGGGCTCCGTTAGCTCCTCACCCTGCCAGTCTCTGGAAGAGAGCGCCCTTGGGAGATGGGCAGGCACGTGTGCAGGAAGCCTCTGGAATAGCAGTGGGAGATGCGGACTTGACAAGTATGCGGGACGGATACTTGCGGTGTGACACGGCTCGAGAGATCATTTTATAATAATAACTATTTTAATTTATCATAATTTATAAAAGAAACCTTTGTCGTTTGTCTGTTGAAAGAAAATGAAGGAGCAGGAAAAAAATAAATTACTTGCAAAATGCTACATTTCAGCAAGTGGATTTGGCATGACTTTTCCCGTCAATTCAGGACAAAAAGTGCTATTGTTAGGAGACTTATTTAAAAAGACTGATAACACACTATTTTCATATTTTGTTTATTTGCACAACTTTTGAACCAGATGACTGGTTAAAATCCAACCGTACACAATTTATAAAGTCAAAAGATTTTATAAGGAAAACAAAATAACCAGTGCTGTGAAATGCAGAAAAAAAGGTTTGTATTTGGTTGTGGGGTTTTTTTGTTGTTTTTTGGTTTTTTAAAGGAAAAACCCAGCCTAAAATGTTAATCTTGTAAAAAGTGTGTATTTGGAATTTTCTTTGTTTTAATATAGAATATTATAAAGTCAAAATATAATAAAATTGTTTTCAGATTTGGAGTTTAAGATATAGCTGTAGAAGTGGCTTTGATTCTTTTAGATGTCTCATAAAATGGGACTTTTTATATGTTAATGTATAATAAAACTAAAACGAGATTATTTTCCATTTGAAATTTTTGTATAGTTTAAAAATGCTTCCATATTCTTTGTTGGTATTGTGCCACTGCAAAACTTTAGTGCAGAGTTTATATTTAGCTAAACTGTTACGTTAATTAAGAAATGCATAAATCCTCTATTCTTAATATTTGTAATTCTAAATAAATTGATCTATGAAAAGCAATACTGTCTACCATTCTCATTTAATTAATACAACTTGATAAGTATTCCTTTTTGAAAAGTTTTAAGGAACTGTAATTTCCACTGTATTTTATATATACATATGAATATATATATTTTTTAAGATTTTATTTATTAGAGAAAGTGTGTGTGAGTAAGAGAGCAGGAGCATGGGGGTGGAGAGGAGAGGCAGAAGCAGGCTCCTCGCTGAGCAGGGAGCCTCATACGGGGCTCGATCCCAGGATCACATGAACCCTGGGATCATGACCTGAGCCAAAGGCAGATGCTCAACCACCTGAGCCACCCACGTGCCCCTTCCACTGATTTATATTTTTAGGGGAAACAATACAGATGAATCACCAAGTCATTTTGAATTACGATATCATCCAATATGACTTTAAGGGAGGGTTTTTTTTCCATCTGTACAAATCACAGTGAAAAAACACTTAACCAGTTCTTGGCTTACTGTAGACCTAGTGAGAGGTTGGTTTTAATACAGTCTGCCTAGGGGCGCCTGGGTCACCACGCTGCCACGGCCCAGCACATCTCACGAGTTCTAAAGAGAGCCATCAGTGCCACATGCTGTGTAGGTTTGTTTCTGAAAAGACTTTCGCTGAGTCCCCAAAAACCAGATTCGCTTGCCACCGTTGAGAATCTACCAAAAGATTTGCCTGTTCAATTCTTTCTCTTAAATTCAGGCACTAGAAAGTGCCTGTGTGGTTACCACCTCTCTTGCTCTCGGCCCGGCCGCCGTCCCCGCCAGTCTGGAAGTCATCGGTCACCCCTACCTTCTCTGCAGCATCCACTCTGCCCCCTCAACTGCAACATTCGGGGAGCAATAGTCTTAAACTGCAGAATCGGTCATGTTCTCTCCATCTAAGGCCTTAGGGCTCTCAGAACAAATTCAGAACGCTTCCACAAGACGCAGAGAGCCACGGGGGCGCCTGGGTGGCTCAGTTGGTTAAGCGACTGCCTTCGGCTCAGGTCATGATCCTGGAGTCCGGGGATCGAGTCCCGCATCGGGCTCCCTGCTCAGCGGGGAGTCTGCTTCTCCCTCTGACCCTCTTCCCTCTCGTGCTCTCTATCTCTCATTCTCTCTCTCTCTCAAATAAATAAATAAAATCTTAAAAAAAAAAAAAAGACGCAGAGAGCCACGTATGGTCTGACATCCTCAATTTCTCCGTCCTGCTTCTTCCGCCACGGGGCCTTTGCACGTGCACTTCCCTCTCCTCACCTTGGTGACTCCTGACCATCCTACACGTCAGTTTCTCAGTTAAGCTTTCCTTGACTACAACACACCGTCTCCAGGTCCTCCGGTATCTCTCTGTGCAGCGCGCTCCACGTTTGCAATCTTACATTTCTTCTTGGGTCAGCCTGCTGGCCTCTCTACTCCTGGCTTGGCTCACCATTTTATCTCCAGGCCCTGATAGAGTGCCTGTTCACAGGCAGCAAATGTTTGTGCAGTGAGCAAACAAGAGTTTCAAAAGAGCTCGAACCAACATCAGTGTCACTAGAACCAGCATGGGCTTTTCCATGATGATTGCTTTGCAAGATGAGACTACTCCCTTGGATGCAGAAATTCTGCTTTGGGGGGTTACCTTTAAGCATTATCACTCGTCCTGGTCCTGACTAAAAAGGCCAGGCCAATACAGAAGGCATTATTTGCTGGTTAGAGAGATGGGTGGATGGAGTCCCAGGTTTGAGTCACTTGTGATCTGAACCATAAAGTTTCTTGTTCTTTAGAACAATAATAGCCCCTAACTTACACGGCATGGTAAGGATTAAACACACAGTGCCTATAACACATTTAGCAGTTAGGGTCTCTTGAGAGTTCAAGGGAGGTGCAGACTAATGTTCTTGGAGGGTCCCACAATTTTTTTAAAAATTAAAAATAACAAGATTTAAATGTTTACAGATTTTGTAGGTATTCGCTAGGGAAAACACAATGTAAGGGCAATAATCCACTTAATTAATAAGCTCTTTGCAAGATTAACCTCTACGTGTGACCCTTAGTGGACTCTAAGCTCCGAGTGTCAGGTTTTCAGTCTTGTGGGTGTGAATGTCTGTAGTCTCGCACCTGTCCGGGGCACACGTCCAAATGCAAAGGGACCGCGGAGCACACCGTAAGTACTTCAATAACCGCAGCTAACGTTTAGCATCTGTGTTTGGTTTCAGACCATTTTCAAGGGTTCGGAAGCCAGGTCTGCCGCTAAAGCCTGAACATGTCTCCGGCTGCTTCTCCCAACGCATTCGCTACGCTGAAAACCGCAAGTCACTTGAATAACAACACCTTTGCAAAAATGAGGGCAACCGGCCTGTGGGATCTCGAAGACATTTCAGGGCGCTCAGACTGTTCCAGTAACATCGGGACAGGAGTCCTGGCCTTAGCCACGGCTCCTGCAAGCCTCCTCCAAGGTGCCGCGTACAGAGACACCTCCCCTACGGCCACCCCGTAGACAAAGTCTCCCTTGGCCCTCAGCAGTTTGAAAACCCTCAAAATATCAAGACAGGATTTTAATGGATCTCAGGCTAATTTACACCCTAATTTGCATACATTCTAATGTGTACATTGGGAGAGAGAAATCGGAAGCCAGCACCCATGCGACTAATTTGAACAGGTTCTCAGCACAGCGGCCCGATGACCGAAGGGCCACATTTGCAGAGACTCTGTTCTTCCACAAGCAGTGGAGGATGGCGCTGCACGACGTGCTGTCCAAAGGACCGAACTCATTTCAACAGAATGGCAGTGAAGCATTTGTGGAAAGCATTTAATAACCCACTCAAGTTGCACCAAGTACAATCACAAGTGCTATGGGTAATGTGGGAGTGACTGGAGTAAAACGTACAAAATCAGGATTCGAGGAAGTTTCAGACTCCGGGGGAGGGGGACCTGAAGTGTCTGAGAGAGAGTGGTATTCATTTGGTCCTCGACGACCGACAGGAGGGCCTCGGGGACAGGGCCACGCTGTGCACGGGTGACCTCAAGTAGATTTGCACGGCCGCCCCTTTGGCTGGAGATGTCGGGAGGGTAACCCAAAGCTTTTTTCCATCTGGTGGCCACGGGAGGCTACCACAGATTTCTAGAAAGCGATGTGCGAAAATCTGACAAGCCAGAGGCAGGGGGTTCTAGAAATAATCTGCATGCAGAATCACCGGAGGGACGAATGAGTGTAAAGACGGATGGGCCACACACACAGAAAGGGAGTCGATCCCGGGGACAGGGTGAGGACTGCGTCCTGCTGAGTTCAAGGTCACGAGCCTTGGAGGAAGGCGAGAAGCCGGCAGCTGGGGCGCGCAAGGGGAGGGTCAGCCTGGCCGCCGTGTTCTTGGGAAGGGGAGAGGGAGTTCTGACAAAGCAGTCCGGAAGGGAAGAGGGGCACCGGCCACATGGAGCGGGATGCTGATGGAATTGGAGGTGCGGGTTTGGAGGCACCCGGGTCAAAGGACCGCGGGACTCCTGGGGAGGGGCCCGCCGAGGGAGGAGAAGGGGTGAAAGAATCACAGGCAAGGGGGAGGGAGCGTCACTGGGGAGCGCGCCGGCGACACCCTCACCGAAGCTACTGGGCGTGTGTTCCTCGCCCTGGAGCCAGAAAGGACAGCCTTCTGATGTGTGTGTCCTCGCCTTCAGGGGCACGGGGGCTCCTCGGAGCTTACCCTGACCTCGCCCAGACTCTTCAAGAGTTACCAAAGGCAGAGAAGATGTGTTCCTCCCACGAGTCCAGCTTTGAACCAGTGTCTTCAGAGAGGGGAGAGTAGGCTTCGAAGCGCTGACCCTGGCAGCTCGGGTGGGGGATGCCCTCCCCAACCCTGTTGGGATCGGGCAGGCAGTTCACGTCTACTTCAAGAGGCGACTGGGGCTTCAAACATTTCACTTCGGGCCCCTGCACGGCATGGTGGAGGAAAAGCTGGGATCTGGCCGAGGGCTGAAAGGCTTTCCCGCTCTGCCGCCTTGACTTGGCCCGCCGGTTCTGGAACCACACCTG